ACGTGCGTCCCACAATTGCTGACTCGTCCTTTGTATGATACACTGATCCTAGCAGAGGACCCCTTAGGTTGTAGCCGTAAGCATCCGCGCGAGCGTATCTCTACCAGGAGTGGCGGCTCAAAGAACAACTAAATCTTGGGGCGCCTGGGTGGCTCAGTCGGTTAAGCGTCCGACTTCAGCTCAGGTCACGATCTCGCGGTTCGTGAGTTCGAGCCCCGCGTCGGGCTGACGGCTCAGAGCCTGGAACCTGCTTCCGATTCTGTGTCTCCCTCTCTCTCTGCCCCTTCCCCGTTCATGCTCTGTCTCTCTCTGTCCCCAAAATAAATAAACGTTAAAAAAAATAAAATTTAAAGAACAAAATCTTCAGATCAGGGAGTCAAGACCCAATGCCCCCCAGCTCCTGCCCCTTTAAACCTTAGCACTTGAGGTGTGCCCCTTCCCGAGGCCACGCTGAGACCCCCTGGCAGGCCCAGGGACTCACCGCTCCGAGAGTGCCTGCTGGTTCCTCCACTTGGGCTCCGCTCTGCGTTTCTGCCCTGACGTGTTCTTTAAAAGTCAGGATTCAAAGTCGGATGCCGACCGACCTCGAAACCCCCTGCCGTCTCATTCTCGAGGAATGCTACTGTCGCTGCTTTCTTCCCAGTCTGGTGCGTCCCCGTGAGCGGCCGAAAATAGTCCTCGGCTCAGCCCGCAGGCTCGCTGCGGGACCCAGCCCTCACTCGGAGAGCCCTTCCCCGGGGCCCAGGCAGGCAAGACCCACATCACCTCTTTGGCCCGTTTCTGCCATCCTAGGTCCCCCCTGCCGGGTGGAGCGTCCTCCAGGCTGAGCTCACTGCTGACGGAGGGCTTAGAATGCTGGGGAGAAAGAACTCGCCCTGGATGCTCCCAGGGCGCCGTGACGCGGGCCCAGTCTCTGTGCCCGGTGACCACTTCTCCACCGCAGCCAGGGAGCGCGGGCCCTGGAGGTGGCCCAGCGTGCGCGGGCAATGCAAGAAACAAGGCCAGTGCCAGCCGTCTGTTTCAAAAGGCGTCCTCCAGCCAGAGGAAGGAGTGTGTGCTTACGTGTGCACGAGTGTGTGTGCACATGTGCGTGCGCGCGTGTGTTTTCTGTTCCGCATCCTTCCCCTTCCTGGGCATATCATCCCGACCACGGTTTCATGTCCCTTACGCCGTGGGGACGACAAACAGTGGTGAGCCGGTAAACGTGAACCCACCAGCTGCCCGGAGGAAAAGCCCCAATGAGCATCCGCTGCCTTCCAGGGTATAAATACTCCCACCGCGGCCAATTTGCAAGCTATCACCGTGACATCATTAAATTCGGAGTTGGGAAGAAATGCAAAGTAACCCCCCCCCATTATATATATCGGATTTCTGCCACGCAGACACAACAGACGTCAATAGCCTCAAAAGCACCGGCGTTAGTCGAAGAGGCGGGAAGTGGCGAGTTTTGAATGCTTATTGCTTCTTTTTAAATACAGCTCATTTCTAAGTTTATATGCTTTGATTTTGAATAGCAGCTGCATTTAATAACTGGCTCAAAACATTCGTCTGACTGCAGCAATTTGCTCCTAGAAACTCGTCCAAGCCGCCGAAAACTTGGTCCACCGCTGAGTGGCTCTCAGAGGGAAGCAAACCCCTGAGATTCATCGTTTCCTTAAACATTGACGTGAATCAGTTTCCCCCTTCGCTGCACGGGCGTGGGGGCTTAGTGGCACATTCTCTCTCAGCCGTGATGCTGGACACCCAAATCTCAGCTCTCCACCCTTCCCAACTGGACTTCTGATTCTTTTTGAGAGAAGGGGGGCAACTTCTAGAAGGTTCTGAAAAGAATGATCCCCGGGAAATACTTGTTCTGAGTGCCTCTCACAGAGGTCAAGGTGGGCCTTAATTCTAGCATACAAATCTGCACATATTCCTTGTTTCTGAATCTCTAGAGTATCTGAGCAGACAGGAATTTGTCCGAGCCTCCACGAAAGGAAACTAAGACCCTTCCTTGGTCACCCCGACTCCCGGGGACACGCTTACCTGAGACCAGGACAGAGACCTCGCCGCCAGAGAGCAGCCGGAGAAGATTCCAAATGCGTTTTCAGAAGCTTTTCTTACGTAAACTTTCCATTCTGACTTCCAATAAAAGAGTCAGAATATCTCTTTCCACGAATTAGGAATCCAAATCCAACGTGTGGATTAAATCCAATACACCAACGTAAATCTTCAAGTTGGCACAATGCATGAATTCATCAACAATAACTCTAGAAGTCAACGGCCGTGCGTGTGATACAGCCCTCCTGGGCTTGGCCTCCCGGTGGTTGGACGTAGAAGCTGAATTCTCCCCAAACCGGCCTCTGTCTTTTGCTCCAGAACGTGCGTCTCACTCGCTGGCTCTTCTCACTCCGGGCCCGCTGCGTCCCAGTCCCTCCGATGTTGTTTGGGATCCTTTCCAGCACAACCCTCCAAGGACCAGCTATCTACTGGGGCGGGGGCACAAGGGAGGAAGCAAGTGCATTATTCCCTGATCCCCGAAACATACGCGCACATACACCAATGCACACACATATATACGCAGGCACACACAAGCACGGACATTCACAAAGACGCGTATACAAACACACGCACACAGACAGACAAGACCAAATACACACACGTGCGCGCGCGCGCACACAGAGCTCATAATCTGTCTTCCGGGGAACCTTCCAGACACCTAATTTCTTGCCTTAGCCCCGCCTGCTTTTATTCTCCCAATATTGGTCAGCTTAACCAGCGAGGGCTTCCTGTAGTGATCTTCCCAATTCCAGGCGAAGACATTTCCACGCGTAGCTGGAAAGGTTTCTGGTTTGGGGAAGCATCACGCTGAGGATTGTACACCCAATTAGGATGTGGGGGAGGGGGCAGTTTCCACACCACCAAGCAGGGTTCAGACACCAGCTGGTTGTCCTACAGTTCGATGCAGTTCGGACACTCTGTACCCGGGGACAGCGTCACATCCCACAGGTTTAGGGCTCGGTCCCCCCGGACTGCCCTCCACTTCAGACACCAGTCGTAAGCCCAGCTTGTCACCTGTGCTGCTGACCGACTGGCTACAGAGTGGAGGTCCCAACAACTCCATTCTTCGGTTCCATTAATTGACCAGACTGGCATTCAGAACTCAGAGAAACATTGGACTTATCAGGTCACCAGTTGATTATAAAAGGGTATAATCCAGGAATAGCCAGAATGGAGGGCGTGAACAGGACAAGGTGTGGGGAAGGGACACGAAGCTTCTATGTCCTCTGAGACCCCCACCCTTCCCACATCTCCACGTGTTCGCCAACCCAGCAGGGGCCCAAACCCTGTCTGTTTGGGGTTTTATAGAGGCTTTATTACATAGGTACAACTGACGAAACCATTGGCCATCCACGATTCATCCAACCTCCCCTCTTGCGGGAGTGGGTGGGACGGAAGCTTCCAGCCCTGTAGTCACACTGTCGGTTCTCCAGCTAACCAGCCCCCATCCTCAGGGGCTTTCCAGAAGTCACCTCAGTAACCTACCAAAGGACACCTTTGTGACTCTTATCACTTAGGAGACTCCAAGGGTTTTAGGAGCTTTGAGCCAGAACCAAGTAGGGATAAAATCGATACTTCTGACCACAAATCACAGCATCACAGCCCAGGTTGAGTGGCGGCCGGCTGGGCGTGCAACACGGGAGAGCTCCTCCCATTCCTCTTCCTCCGTCGCGTCTCGATTCGCAGAGGTGATGGAGTGATCACGGGAAGGGGGAGGCGGGGGGAGCTCCGCGTGGAAGGGGAACACGCACCTGCAGGCTGGCATTGAGCCTGAGTGTCAGCATGGAAGCACCTAGAACAGAGAAGATGGGACAGCCGTGGCAGGGACACGTGAGTGGCCAGGGCGCGGCTCACGTGCCTCCTGGTGGCATCCATGAAGTCTATTCGACGTCACAAGCATAAACAACAGCTTCCCTGATAAAGAACAAGACTGGTATTTTCTTGTTTTCTTTTTTCTTTTTTTTTTTTTTACATTTATTCATTTATGAAAGACAGAGAGAGACAGAGCACAAGCAGGGGTGGGGCGGAGAGAGAGGGGGACACAGAATCCGAAGCAGCTCCAGGCTCTGAGCTGTCAGCGCAGAGCCCGACGCGGGGCTCGAACTCACGAACCGCGGGATCATGACCTGAGCTGAAGGCGGACGCCCAACTGACTGAGCCACCCAGGCGCCCCGGGACTGGTATTTTCCAATTAATTACTTCAAAGTCAAATCACATCATGCTTCAAATTCCCAGAAAGGTCACCTCTCAGGCCTTCACCCCACGTCGCCGCCGATCTCCAGTCTTCCTTGGGCTGTGCGTTGAGCCGCGCGCCTGTCCACGTGATTTATGATTCAAGGCTCCGGCCTTTTTATTACGTGGCATTTTCTGAGCACCTGCTGTAGGTCAGGGGCCTTGCACGTTGACCTCTTTCCTACGCAACCATTCCCAGTCGCTGAGTACTGGTATCATCCTGATAGCCCGGGCCTCAGAGGCTCGGACCGGCCAGCAGACGTCACGGGGCCCCTTGCACTGCCCCCTACACTGGCCACGAGCCGGAGAGCTCTATCCCCTCAGGCCCACCACCTCTGGGCCCTGCAAGGCTGCCTGTGCATCAACCTGGGGCTCTGGTTCAGAAGGTTAGTGACTGGGGCAGCCAGCAGGGTGTTAGAGGGGGAGAAGTTGGGGTGTTTATCTCCCCAGAGCCCTCCCTGTGGGTCCCTTCAGTTGACCGTCGCTGCTCCTCAGGGAAGTCGTCTTTACCTGTGCTCCTTCTTCCAAGTTCTGGCAGCCGCTCTCCGCGCGGGTCCCCGGGCCTGGAGATGCTGTGATGAGCCCCCGGGTATGGCTCTGGGCCTTGTTCTTTCCCTGCACCGGGCCCAGACCTTTGTAAATGTCTCCTCCGTTGCCACTAATAAGTTCCCGTAAGTTCCACCTCCACAGCAGACCTGGATTCTTGTCTGTTTTCCCTGTCTCTGCAGACATCACCTCGCTCATCTGGACCACAGGGATGGCCTCCTGAACGCCTCCTGCTTCCGTGCCCCTCTCTCCTCCCTAGCGCAGTCTACGAGCATCTGGAGGGATATTTTATAAACCTAGGTAAGATCGCATCACTGCCGCACTGAAAATTTGTCAATACCTTCGCGTCCCATTCTTGCCCTCACTCACCTCACTTTTTCCGGACCCCGTTCCCACCTCCGCCCTCCTCATTGATATCCCCATGCCTGGAATGATCTTGCCCTCATGTCTGCACTCGCTGGGTTGTTTAGTCTGGGTTATCCAGGGCTGAGCACGGTTCCCAGCGCGGTGGAAAACCAGAGAGGGTGCTTCGCGACGGGGCAGCTGCAGAGTCACCTTGCAAAGGGTGAGAATACCAAGAGGAATGAGGGACAGTGGCCCTTGGCGGACCCCCCCCCATGGGGTGGACAATGGTGGAAACCAGGGCGATCCAAGAAAGTGGGGCTCATGATCTCCCCAGAAGCAGAAGGACCTTCCGAGTCCTGAATTCGTTCCGGACTGGCCATCTGTGCCTCCTGGGTCCCCACGAGAGAAGGTTGGACTGTTGCTCCTGGACAAGAAGCTCCTGGCCCGTGGGGAAGATTCTGTCTGTGTCGTGTCCCCATTCGAGGTCACTGGAGGGGTCTGATCAGCGAAGGCTTGTATCACCATCGCTTGTACGTGTCATGTGACCCTTTGTCCCCATGTCCTGAGCTTGCTGTCCGGGTCTCTCGGCCTCCCGTCTCGGGGCAGCGATTGACGGCTGGAGGAGGAAGTCCAGATTCCTGCTGAGTGTCGGAGGAAGGCAACCCGAGATCCGGAATGAGTCACAAAATAAAAATATCTGCACAGGCAATGCAGATGCACGGTACCCAAGCTGAAAAAGTGCAGGAGAGCCTTTAAAAACGCTACTGTGGCCAGAAGTGACGGCCAGAAGCAGCTTCTGACCACACGCTGCCGTGTCTAAGAATGCACTGCGGAATCCGAGCCGCAGGCTTCCAGGGCGGCGAGGGGCTGGAGGGGCACCCACGGTGGGGCCAGAGGCTGGGGGTGGGGACAGAGGGGCCTCAGCAGCCAGAGGGTCCCCTGCACTTGCTTGCTCTAAAATTACCCTCAAGCACAGGCATAAATCATCGGTGTTTTCTCCTCCCCGCCCTGTGGTCACTAGATGTCACTGCAGGAAAAAATCTTCCCCGGGAAACTGATGCAAGGGCCAGAGATATTAATGTTTGGAGCCTACGGAAGTGGTTGCCGTGGCAACAGGGAGCGCGTGAAAGAACTTCCTTCTTTGCCGACACCAGCCGCTTCCCAGGGATATTACAGTCAGCGCTGCAGACAGCAGATGCCGTCGGGCACCGAAGCCCGGGTGTGGGACCCAAGGGACGGCCCAGGATGGGGCGGGGGTGGGGACCAGCGGGCGGACCCCCAGACAGAGGGCCTCTGGCAGTGGGAGCGCTCAGTAACCTGTGTCGATTGTAACGCTGAATTCCAAAGCCCCCAACCCAAAGTGCAGGCGTGTCCCCAGATGTCATGACTCTAACAAAGACGCGTCCTTTGGCGCATTCAACCACGGGTGCAGAAGGCCCGAGAAGGAGCGGAGCCCAGACAGGTTCAGACACTGAACCGTGACCGAGGGGCGGCGCGGGGCAGAGAGTGGGCACCCGCCACCAGGTGCCGCCCCCTGCTTTTCCACTTTCTGTCCCCCCTCTGCGGGAGGGGGACTGTACCCCAGGCTGTGGGGATGGGAGATGAAGGGGGAGGAGAGGGCAAAGGGGAGGCTGGGCTGGTCGACCTTCCACGCCAGTCTTGTCTTCATTCAGCCGCGACTAACCAGCTAACTGATCGGCAGGGCCAGGAAGGGGCAGGCACAGATCCTGTCGCCTGCGGGACCTCTGCCCTCCGCCCCCCCCCCCGCCCCCTTCTCCTCCTCCTCTCCCGGCTCCCGAGGTGCCAGTGCCCTTGAACTGCCCTCTGGCTTTTCCAAACGTCCACACTACAGCCAGCCTCCTTCCCCCTCCATCAGACCTGGCTCCCAGACCCCAAGGACCTTTGCACTTTGGAAGCAATTCGCTCACTAGAGCCCCAGGTGTAACCCTTGGGGGATACCAGCATTTAAAGGGTAGCTTCTTCTCCAGATGCACATCCGGTGGCTAGAATGTATGCAAGTGAGAGCAAGGAGGATTCTAGACCTGACTCCATCCAGAGCCGGGAAAACCAGGCATCTTCCCCCTGGCCAAGGCGTCGGGCAAGGTCTGGCAGGAAGCCTCAGGTGCAAGGGGGTGGGTCAGACCCCCCCCACCCCCCCCCCTCCCCGGGGCCGGGCCACTATCCCAGCCTCCGGGTGGGGAGGGGCTGGGTACTCAAGCAGCTTGCCAGAAGAAATCATGCCCTGGAGAGCCGAAGACAAATGAGAAAAAGACAAGAGACGTGGGTTCTGAAGACCGAGGTCCACACAGACGATAAGGTCCAGTCCGTCCGTGTCCAGCCACGCCTGCTGTCGGGTCTGGGTCACACCAAGGCCATGTGGGAGCCATGGGCAGGGGCGCAGGAGAGGCAGGAGGGGCCGGAGGCCCTAGGGGCTGCTCACATCCCCCCAGGGCCCCTGGGGGGCGGGGGGAGGGGACAACTTTCAGGACCAGCCGTATTTTTGCGTTTCTGTATTTGTTTCATTCTTCTACAAAAAAACACTTGTTACTCATATTATTTTAAAAGTACGAAATCGGGGCGCCTGGGGGGCTCAGTCGGTTAAGCGTCCGACTTCAGCTCAGGTCATGATCTCACGGTCTGTGAGTTCGAGCCCCGCGTCGGGCTCTGTGCTGACGGCTCAGAGCTGGAGCCCGCTTCAGATTCTGTGTCTCCCCTTCTCTCTGCCCCTCACATGCTCATGCTCTGTCTCTCTCTGTCTCTCAATAATAAATAAACAGTAAAAAAATTAAAAAAAAAAAGTACGAAATCATTCTTGGGGCACGTTGCGCACAGAACAACAAGCTGGTCCCCAGCTACTTCACGTGTTTGTTTCATCTCCTGCTTTAATTGTTACCAAGTGTCTATTAACTACACGGAGCCACATTAGCCACATCGGCTGTGGTTAAGACAACACGATTTGGGCTCCGTTTCAGACGTGCGTGCATGATGAGGACCACGCTTGGGGGGTGGGTGGGGAGGCCTCGGGTCCCGCCATCAGATGGGTCTTGTAGCCTCGGCCTGGCTCGCCAGCTGTCACAGCTCAGGGAAACTTGAACGTTGCGACGGGAGAGCTAGGCTTCGGCTCCGCTGAGTGTCCCCGGCCCTCAGCAGGAAGCTTCTCTCTTCGGAGCCGCTGGTTGATTCTCCTCGCTGCCCCCCAGGCCCCCAAGACGTGTGGCCCGTTGTCACCCGCATGTGCTACAAAAGGGGCAGGCTCTTTGTAGCTCCGGGGGTTCCTGCGGCTGGTTCCAGAGTGTGTGTGTGGCAGGGGGGCAATTCTCAGACACCAGCAGGTTGAGGGCTCTGTCTTACCAGACCGCCTCCACCCCGCACCCCTGCCCGCTTCAGCCGCCAGGCGCCCGCCCACGCGGTGGCCTGTGTTTCTGACCTACCGGCCACACATCAGCGGTTCCAACAGCCCAGCCTCGGGGTTCAGACACCAGCTGCGAGTGTAGGCCGTCACCTAGGCTTCCGACTGACGGGACAGAAATCAGAGGCTCCCACAACCTGTTCCTCTGCTTGCGGTGAATTTGCCGGAGTGGTTCACAGAACTCAGCTAGATCACCGGTTTCTCATAAAAGGATCGAACTCAGGAACAGCCAGATGGAGGAGACACAGAGGGAGGGACGTGGGGAAGGGCGGGGAGCGTCCGTGCTCCAAACACTTCCTCGTGTTCATCAGTCTGGAAGCTCTCGGAATCCTATCCTTTGCTTTTCTTTGGAGGCCTCATTACACGGGATTGGTTAAATCATTGGCCTTCGGTGACTGATCCAAACTCCAGGCCGCCTCCCCTCCCCAGAGGTCAGGGTGTGGGATTGAATGTTACAACCCTCTAATTAGTATATTGGTTCTCCTGACAACCAGCCCCTCAGATGCTTTGCAAAGGTCACCTCACCAACATGACAAAAGCCACCTTTATGCTGTCGTCACTTAGGAAATGCCAAGGGTCTTAGGAGCAGTGTGCCAGAAATAGGGACGAAGACCAGATATGTATTTCTTTTGTCTCTAAGTTTATTTATTTATTTTGGAAGAGGGCGAGGGGGAGAGAGACGGAGCTTGAGCAGGGGAGGGGCAGAAGAGAGAGAGAGGGAGAGAGAGAACCCCGAGCAGGCTCCACACTGTCAGCCCAGGGCCAGACCCAGAGCTCGATCTCAGGAACCGTGAGATCCGGACCTGAGCTGAAATCAAGAGTCAGACACTCAACCGACTGAGCCACCCAGACGCCCCCAAATACATATTTCTTATAAATCACAGTATCACCCAGCCAAATACCATCCACGATAAAGCAACACATGCAAATCAGGAAAAGACACCGCGTTTTGGTTTTTGGCAAATGCCGATGCCTCCGGCAATGCTCGCCTGGAAACGTGCTCATTGTGGAATATTCCACCTGTACTTAAGGTGCCCCCCCCACCCTCCCAGCACAGGAAACCACAGTGCCCTCCATCCTGCAGGCGCCGTGGGCCGACTCCTTCAGGGCCTGTGCACCTTGCTTGGATGCCTCTGTTATACCTTCCGGCCTCTGCCTCAGTGGTTCTCAGAGGGCGGCGACAGAGGACTGAGGGTTGTTAGAAACTGAGGGTCCCGGGTCCCGCCCCAGCCCTACTGGTCAGCGTCTATGGCTTCACACGGAAGCCGGAGAAACGCCAGTGTTCCCCGGGGCTTGCAGACTATGGCCCGTGGGCTAAATCTGACGACCACCTGTTTCTGTAGGGCCCACAAGCTAAGGATGGGATTTCTGTCTTTAAATGGCTGGTGCTATGGACTGAATGTTCGCGTCCCATGAAATTTATATGTGGAAACCTAACCCTCAACGTAATGGTACTTGGAGGAAGTACCTCTAGGAAGCCTCTAGGAAGTGATTAGGTCACGAAGGCAGAGTCTCGCGGATGGCATTAGCGTCCCTCAAAAGAGAGACCCCACACGATGGAATATTACGCAGTCATAAAGAAGGCAATCCTGCCATTAGTGACGTTACGGATGGACCTGGAGGGCGTCGCATTGAGTGAGATAAGCCAGACAGAGAAAGACAAACAGCATCTGATCTCACGTATATGTGGAATCGAAAAAGAAAAACCCCAACTGATAGAAACAGGCTAGAAGGGTGGTCACCAGAGGCGGCAGATGGGGGAAGGTGACCAAAAGAGAAGAAATTCCAGCTATAAGGTAAATAACCCCTGGGGACGTAATGCGGCACGGTGACCCTGGTTAGCACTTTTGTGCTGTGGGTCCGAAAGTTGCCAAGAGCTTGGGTCTCCAAAGTTCTCGGCGCAAGGAGAAAACATGGTAACCACGTGAAGCGATGGATGTTAGCGAAGCTTCTTGTGGCCACCACTCTGCAATACACACGTATGTCACATTGTTACGTT